GTAGATTAGCTTGCTGCTGGGGTCTGGCCAATTGGGACTGAACGAGATGGGCCGGACACACCCTGGAGCCCTCCCACAGTCCCTCTCCCGCTGGCCATCCTCCCACATCCCTCCCTGGCCCTGATGATACACTGGTGGGGTCCCTCGGCCTGGCCTGAACACTTTCGCAATTCAGGCTAGAGACACCTCCCCCTCCTGAGCGCACAAATTCCATGCACCAGGCCTCTAGTGTTACAGATAAAAAGAGGACTAACAGCCATGATAATTCCACCTTAAGGAGCTGGAAAAGCACAAAGTAAACCAAAGTCAGAGGAAGGTAGAGGAAAAATAAAGAAAAATCATAGAAAATATTAACAAATCCATAAATAGGTTCTTTCAAGACCAACAAATGTGACCAAACTCTAACTACATTAATCAAGGGGGGGGGGGGGGGGGGAGAAAATACAAATTATCACTATTAGAAATGAAAGAGAAATAATCACTTCAGATAATATAGACAGTAAGGGAAAAAAAGATGATATGAACTTCATGCCAACAAATTCAGCAATATAAACAAATTCCATGAAAGTGATAACTTGCAAAAATTAACACAAGATCTAACAGAAAATATAAATAGCCCTATATCGATGAATGAAACAACATAATCAGAAAAAATCTTCCTACTAAGAAAACTCCAGGTCCAAAACAGTTTCACTAGTATATTGTCTCAAACTTTAAAGAAAACATCAATCTTACACAACTCTTTCAGAGAAAGGAACAATTTGTAACTGAGTTTAGGACAGCCTTAATACTAAAATCTGACAAAGATATTAAAAAAAAGAAGTTACAGAGCAATATCCCTTGTGAACATATAGATGCACACTTAAAATATTAGCAAATCAAGTCCAGCAATATCTAAAGATGATAAGAAGGGTTTAATGTCCAAGAAGGGTTTAATCCAATACTTCAAGGATGATTTAACTTTAGAAATATCAGTGTTAATTTATCACATTAATAAAATAAAGAAGAAAAACAAAAAAATATCCTCGGATGAGGATTAACAAATTCTACAACTCAGTAACAAAAAAATAACAACACTTAAACACTTCTTTTTGTTGTTGTTAGAGGGATAGAAACATTGATCAGTTGCCTCCCACATGCACTCCAATGGGATCAAATCCGCAACCTGTGTATGTGTCCTGACTGGGAATTAAGATGGCAACCCTTTGGTGCATTGGATGGATGATGCTCAACCAAGTGAGCCACACCAGTCAGGGCAGAAACAACACATTTGGTTAAATGGGTAAATAAATATTTGAACATATCACAAAAAAAAGTTATTTGAATATAAAGGCAACATATGAAGAAGTTATGAAGAAGTATTCAACAACCTTAGTCATCAAAAACACAGAGTAAGCCCTGGTTGGTGTAGCTTAGTTGGTTGGAACACTGTCCCACATACCAATAGGTAGCAGGTTCAATTTCCAGCCAGGGCACACACCTAGGTTACAGATTCAATCATCAGTCAGGGCACATACAGGGGGCAACTGAAGAATGTTTTTCTCTCTCTCCCACACTCTCTCTAAGGTCAACAAAATAAAATTTAAATTTTAGAAATGCCACAGATTAAAGCCATAATAAAATACTAAAATGCATAAAATTTAAAAGTCTGACAATACCAAATATTTGCAAGGAGGTGAGGGGTGGGGAACGTCTGGCCTTAAAATCAATTTGATAGATTTTATGTGTAATTATTTATGATTAAAAATAATAAATCGCCATGGCCAGCATGGCGCTGTGGTTAAAGCATCAGCGCACACATTGGATGATCCCAACTAATCCATGTCTCCCTCACATAGATGTTTCCCTCTCTCTCTTTTCCCCTTTCCTCTCTCCCTTTCTTTCTCCCTTCCCCCCTCTAAAACTCAATGGAAAAATCGGATGAGGATTAACAAAAAAGTAAATTAGTTAAGTAAAATGGCAAAGCCAAACTCAAAACTCAGGACTAATTCCAAATTCCACAATCTTTACACTCTGACCTTATTGTTTAACCACATTTATTCATTCAGCAAATATATGAATACCTGCCTGTGTGCCAGGCACAAGTACCAGTTAATAAAAAAGACACAGGTAGCTTAAGTTCAAGAAAGTATAACTGCTTATCTCATAAGGACACATAAATCACCCTATATTTAAAGGAAATGTGTCAACCACTCAGTATTGCTTCAATGTCAAATTGTTCCTCTCAAAAACTATTAAAAGCATTAGAAATAGAAAGACAAAGAGCCCCCTTCATTTTTCATGGTCTCAGAGGCATCCTCAAACAACAATTTACCTTACTTGCTTCCTAATGAATGGAATACAGTACTCTTTCCCAATAATTCTATTGTAAGCCCAAAATTAATCTCCATATTCCATTATCCACTAATTTAAACTTATTTCTTCTTTATTCATTATATACCTACTATCATTTTAAATTGCTGATTTACTTTTAAATAGGTAATAGTAACAGAATATGGAAAGCTTTCATATTTTAACTGAGGGTTTCAACATATTATTTAGCCTAGTTGAATAAGATTATTAGCCATTTATATCATTTACTGAACCTCTGATTCAAATCTAAACAAGTCAAATAACACCTTTCAGTTTCAACTAAATAGGCCTCCTCATGATCCCCCCAAATTTAGAGACCTAGCGATCTCCAGGACCTTGCCTAAATTTCCAAACCTGAGACTCAAACAATGTTACTCTTGTAAAACAATAATTCAGAAAGGTGCCAGTGTATAATCTAAGCCCTCCCCCTAAGACAAAGAATAAACTCCTAGGTAATGGGGGATGAGGACACTATTTAATATCTTAATCAATAAAGAAATTAAAATGCAAAAAATAAAATAGATAAGATAAAATACCCCCCCCCAAAAAAGAATAAACTTCTAAAGGAAAAAACAGACTTTAAAGACATCTGTTCTACTAAAGTAGAATTAAGCATCTTTTCTTCAAGAATTAAGCTATTCTGAAATCTATATTATCCTATTAACCAATGTTACCCCAATTAATTTTTTAAAGTTGTCATTTCCCTAAAAAAAAGTCAGTTTGACATTCACAAAGGTACCTTTCAAATTATATTTAGCAGTCAAAAAGAATTAACCTTTTTTTTTACAGCTACGTTTTTTATATTCTACAGCTTCTCTAATTTCACAATTAGAGCTAAGGATTTATATATAGACTAGAGGCCCAATGCATGAAATTCATACACCTCAGCCCGGCCTGCACCTCTCCAATCGGGATTCTTCTCACAATCCAGGACCACGGGCTCCTAACCACTCACCTGCCTGCTGGCCTGGTCGTCCCTAACTGCCCTCCCCTGCCAGCCTGATCACCCCCAACTGCCCTCCCCTGACTGCCTAGTTGTCTCCAACTGCCCTCCCCTGCTGTCCATTTTGCCCCCAACTGCCCTCACCTGCCAGCCTGCTGACCCCCAACTGTCATCCTCTGCCAGCCTGGTGCCCCCAAACTGCCCTCTCCTGCTGGCCTGGTCGCCAATTGCCTGATCGTCCCTAACTGCCTCTTCCTTGGCCCCCATCACCATGGCTTTGTCTTGAAGGAAATCAGATGTCTGGAAGATGACCGCTCGACCTGGCCTAATTAGCATATTACCCTTTTATTAATATAGATGCAAAAGTTCCTTTGATGAAACAATTCAAAAACTGGAATGAAAACTGTAAAGTACTGAGTAGACAAAATAGCTTAAAGGTGAAAAGAACAATTATGTTAATTGACTCTTCTATATAGATTACCTGCCTTACTGAAGTGTTCTTATATACATTAAAACTTATACTGACTGCATACATTTCAAGCTTCAATCAGATTTCAAACTATACTATAAATATGTCCCACAAATAGCAGTAACCAGAGCTGTCATCATTCCCAGGAAACCACTTAGGAGCAAAATTCTTTTCAAATTGTAGAAAGCAGAAAAACTGAATAATTACTTTGCCTTAAAAAGTGAGTACTATAAACCTTTCTTAATTAGAAGTGTACTTATTTCCTTCTTAGGATAGGTTTTATCATAGTTGTGATGTATTCTTATTGCATTTAAAATTTTATCTACAATTACCACTTAAGACTATTTTTGCATTACATTAAAATTAATATGTATTATTTTAATAGCCATATTCTTTTATTAAATAAATATTCAATACCTAATTGAAAAAATAGAGTACCATAAACTAAATTTCACCAGAAAAATACTGTGTTTTCAATTTAAAATAGTTTACCTGATCTGCAATGAAAGCTTTGCAATAAGAGCAAAAAGGCTTAGTTCTTTTAAAAACCATATCATTTAAATGTTCATAGCATATTGTCACACACAAAAAAGTCTAGTTTTCAAAACATGTACATTAGTATATATGCCTTAGTTATCTTCCAAAAATAGGGCACTGCCTTTACTCAAGGTCCTTACCACAGAGAAATCTCCGTTACTTCAAACGGAACAAGCACGGTAAGCAGCTATCCTAATGTTATTAAACAGCTTAGGGGTCACAGAAGATCATTGTTTACTTAGGAATATATGACATAAAAATGTATGCTGCATGTATAATATGTATACTATATGTGCATAGAATATGTATATTCTAACATGTATAGAATATAGACTATGTATAGAAAAAAGTCTGAAAGAGATTAATTTCAAAATGAAGAGTGATTACCTCTGGATGATATAAAATCCATAATTTAAGTTTTCTATTTTGTTATTTACCTTTTCTAACTTATCTAAAAAAAAGGCTAAATTTTTTTAGACTCCACTGAACTGGATTCAACAGCAGAACTTTTTCCTTATATGGTATACCTTTCAAGTTCTAAGGAAGAATAACTTTGAAGCTCTCTACGATTTTTCTAAAATGGTCAACATTTCCTGGTACTCTGATAAACTTGTTCTAAACAACAGGATGTTAAACATATACTAATTTTTATATACATCGATTTTTAGATTCTGAAAATCCAATTCCTTATAGATTTACCTTCATCATACATTTCTTCAATTAAATAGGCCTCTGCTCGGTCTTTCAGAGCATTCACATTGTCGGGTTCCATCTGTAAAACCTCAGAACACACCCGAATAGCTTCAACAGGCTTCTCATCCTAAAAGTAAATGTGAGAAAATGATTTATGGTTTTTATTCCATATGTTAAGTTTCTGCATTTCTGAGAATGGGTCAACTGTTACCTTAGAAAAGCAGTGGCAAATCCTTTCTTTTGAACGAATTGTATATTCAGATATACTAGGCTCTGTTTTCATGACAGATTCATACTTGCTGGTCGCATCTGTGTATCTATTAAATGAGCAAATCAAAATGAGCAACAAATTCTATTTCCAGAGTCACAGAAACTCTATTCTTCACTATATGTTGCTTAATCTGTTTACCTGAATGAGCACATGCCTTCAAACACTGCTTTTACTTACTAATCTACAGTAGTAAAGAATGCACTACCTGCAATAAAGAGTTAAAATATAAAACACATGACCACATAAAATGACAAATCAGAGCATACTTGTGAGTACCAATCAAACCACCTGATGAATTTCTTTGCAGAAAAATGCTCATGATTTTGAAACTGAATAAAACACTTTGTTAAAGTCTGGCTTAATAGAGCACTTATAGCAAAGCAGAGATAAGGTTTTATTTTTTGGTCACTCTGACTTTCATGAAATCATGGAACCCATTATATACATGCTTATTTTATATAATGAATGCTAATATTCACAGCTAAGTACACAGTGTACATCCTTGCAGAAGGAACCTGTTTAAATTGCTAACTTTGCTACCCTGTTTCCCTGAAAATAAGACAGTGTCTTATATTAATTTTTGCTCCAAAAGATGTGGTAGGTCTTATTTTCAGGGGATGTCTTATTATTCCATGAAGAAGAATACGGTACACATTTATTGTTAAATGAAAATAAAGGAAATGTATTACCTGTATACGGTACACTAGTACGGTAGTTGTCAACATAAATCAGACAAAATGTGAATCCTACAGTATCAAGAATTGACTCATTTATTCAATGACAATCATGTCATCATCTTCTGGAACATCATCATAACAATCCAATTCATGAATTTCGTGGTGAATTTCTTGTGACTCCATTTCTTTCAGAATCAGTGGGCCAAATCTCTCATGTTTAGCCTAGGGGGGCCTTAATTTCAGGGGGATGCCTTTATTTCACTCAGAAGGAAATCTGTAAGTAGGTCTTATTTTCGGAGAATGTGTTATTTTCGGGGAAACACGGTAGCTGTCTAAGAACAATAAAAGCTATTTTGGCAGCTTAAAAACTGTTGAAAAGTACTAATCCTATTACACATCCTGTTATTTTTCTCAGTATTGACAAACTGAAGGATATATAATATGGCACATTATAATATTTCCAAATTGCTACAATCTTCACCTTTAAATGCAGATGAATTAAAACACTGCTTTAAATGTAATATTTACAACAGAAGCTAGCTAGCTATGTCAAAATCTTAGTAGGGATATGGCTCTAAAGTTTTCCATAGTGATAAAACAACTGTAGGAAACTGCACAGAGTATGTGAGACCTTGCTTTACTTTTTACAACTACATGTGAAGCTACAATTAGCTCAAAATAAAAAGCTCAATTAGAAAATAATGCACCTCACTTAAGAAAACAAAAACTGTCTTCTGGGAAGGTGGAATAAATGTACTTTCCCCAATTTGTCCACCTAGGTGCAATGAATACCCTAGACACTAGACATTTTTTAAATATTCAAAGACTAAGAAAGGGTAAGATGGAGACAGCTAGGACCTCTAGACCTGAGGGAAAACAATGTGGTAAGTCCTTGGGTTTCTCTTTTGCTTCATATACCCCAGACTTGGAGCTGAGGAAGCCAGCAAGCAACCCAGAAATGCTAATGGGTACAAATACACACACACACACACACACACACATAAAACAAACAAAAAGCAAAAACCTGCTGCCCCAAGCCAAAAGATCTGGTAAGAGCAGCTTGGCAAGACAGAACAATGGCTCTACTCCAGCCGAACACCAGAGAAAATTATGGCACCACCCCCTCAACGCCAGCAGGTCAGGGGAGAGCATCCAGCCTTCTTCCATGGTGAGACTGATGAGCTGTGCCCACACCCAGACCACAGTGCTGTCAGAGAAGGCCAGGTGAAGAGCCAGAACTTTCAACCATGGCTGAAAATAAGCCCCCCTAAACTCTCACCTGTACCAAGCAATAGCAAGAAGCCCCCACACCTCGAGTATCAATGAAGGCTGAGTGGACTTCTACCTCCATTGCCACTAGACATTAGACATTTGCTGAAACAATATCATAAAAACCCAGCCAAAGCAGGAAAAAAAAACAAAAAACAGTCTTATTGTCCAGGTTTCATTTAAAAACCACTCCCATACCAAGTAACAGATCTCAAACTAACAAGACAGACATGTTAAAATTATCTGACAAAAACTAAAGCAGCCATGAAAAAGCAACAATGATAAACATGCTCAAAGGGAGAAAATACAACAAAAAAAAACAAAACAGAATGGCCCAGCTGACTTAACTCTGTGGTTAAATGTCAACCCATGAACCAGGAGGTCAAAGTTCAATTACCCTCAGGGTACATGCCCGGGTTGTAGGCTTGTGCAGGAGGTAGTCAATAGATGATTTTCTATCATTATTGGTGTTTCTGTCTCTCTCCCTCTCCTTTCCTCTCTATAAAATAAATAAAAACGTATTTAAAAAAAAAAAAAACAAACACCAACAACCATGCCTCAACAAAGAAACAAAAGATATAAAAGAATAACCAAATAGAATTTTTGCCTCAACAAAGAAACAGAAGATGTAAAAGAAAAAGCAATTTTTAGAATTGAAAAATAAAAAAACTGAAATAAAAGTCATTGAATGTGCTAAATAGCTGATTGAAGGAAAAATTAGAACAACAGAAATTACAAATCTTAACAGAGAGAAAGTAAATTGAAGAGAGAAAAAAAGAACAGAGCCCAGGAATCTGTAGGGCTATAACGAAAGAGTTATTAACTTTTAAGTCAATCAGAGTCTAAGAAGCCAAGCATAGAGAGGGAAGGGCTCAAAAGCACTCCAAAAACATTAGCTGGGAACTTCCCGAATCTGCTAGGATGTAAACCTACATATTCTAGGAATGAAATAGACTCCAAAAAGGATAAACATAGGAAATGCACATTGAGGCACATCATAATTAAACTCATGAATACTAAAGGCAAGGGGAAAAATCCTATAATATAATAAGTCAGAGGAAAATCATACCTTTTCTTTAGGAGAAAAAAGCAATTAAAATGACAATGGATTTCTCATCAGGAATCATGGAGGCCGGAAAAAAGTACAATATTTTTCAGGTACTATAACAAAGGAACTATTATAACTGAGATTCATGGAGGGGGAGTGGGGGGAAATCTCTGTATACCTCTATATATATCTCTATCACTACATTACCTTTTAATAATTTATATGTCTATCTCCCTAACTATACCAAAAGCTTCTTAAAATAAAAAACTAGTCATATGCATTTCCGCAACCCCAGGACATAGTCGGTGCTTGATACAGCAAATAATAAGTATTTGGTGAAATATAAATAAATCTGGTAAGAATACTATGCAGTTACTATTATTTATATTCTGCTGCATTATTTTTAATGTACAGTTTTTGTTAAAGCCCAGTGTTAAGATAACTCCATCCTCGATTGCTAAAGAGTAAAAAAGCAAGCAGTTCAATGGTTCTTTGTGTCTACAAAAGACACATGAGAGAATGCTGGAGATTCTAGGCAGCATATGCTTACCTGCCATCTCTGATGAGTTCTTCCGCTGACTCAATCAGCTTGTTAAGTTTCTTTACTTGTTTATAGTGTGCAAAACACCTTTTATGATCTTGGTCCAATTTAAGGCATTCCCGAACTTCACTGTTCGTGTATTTAAAAAGAAGAAAATATTCCAAGTCAAAATAATCAATGAGTAGTTAGTTTTCCATACTAAATATAGAAATTATAATAAAAGGTATTTTGTTGTGTGTAATAATTAAAACATACTGGCTTAATAATTTACCATATATTTGCACATATTGGAACATGCACATACTTATTAATTCAAATTAAAATGACTTAAGTAGGGTTATACATTAAATACCCCATTTTGTTTCTACAAATAATAACATCCCTATTTGTTTTAATAAGAACAGTTCATGAAAATAAACTATGTGGAACTAGAATAACTTGAAATGTATAAATAAATAATAGGATATAAACACAAAATATATAAACACAATAGAAAATAAAAACAGCCTTAACCACAATTTTATTAATTTAAAATTAAAAAGAAAATAGTATTATGTTACTGCCAACAATAAAGGATGATGTGTGTGAGCCAGCAGAATGCACCTGAGGGATAGTTCATGATCTCCTAGTTGGTAGTATAGTGTGCTGATTTTATAAAAAGCCTCAGTATTGTCATTTTTCAATTTTGATGCTGCTTTTAAGTCACTTATTGCTTTCCTAGGTTCCCCTTCTTTTATATAACACTCAGCTCGAAGTTCCCGTAGATCGGCATCCCAAACACAAACCTTGAGAAACAAAAGAACTAGACTTTAAGAAAGAAACAATAAATTATGCACATTTATACTTACACCCCACATATTTCACCTATATATTTATCAATATAAAACATCCTCAATTAATGTGGTAACTTCTATATAGTAAATAGTATTTAGAAATCTGAAACAATTTAGATATGACAAAACTTAGTAAATGTAATAAAATAATTTCTCTAAGAATATTGTAAATAAATTCTAACAGGGGAAGGATATACATATACTGACAAGGCCCTTTTCCTACCTCCTTCAATGATATAATTGTAAAACTTTGAAAATAAGAACACATGGCATTTACTAATAGAAGGTTGTTCCCAATGAAACATATTTGATTTTGAAGAGGGTATTCTGTAGAGGGATTTTTGTAACCAACAATTCTATTTCTAGTAACAAAAAATAAAAATCTAGATTCTAAATTTACAAAATATTTTTATTTTACTAATAACTAAGTAAAATTCTCTCTTGTAAAATATCATCTTGAAATTAAGCCCTCATATCAGAAAAAGAAAAAAAAAAGAAAAACAATGTGAGAAGGTGGAGGCTTCATTTCCATTTCATTGCAAGTTTGCCATGTGTAGTAAATGCACTGGTATTCTTCAAAATGTAAACCCAAAAGCTCACCAGTAAGGTCGGTGGACGTGTTTGTACAGAGTTCTTAAAACTTATGCTAAAGTTATGCCAACTTCCTACATATATTAAGTTATCAAAGACAACATTGGATATCAATTAAATATGAACAATAAGTTAAGTCAAAATGGACAGTTTAAATACTGGAAGGTAAAAATTGTAACTATATTTTTCCTTAATAAAACATTTACAAAATGACTTAGCAAAACGTGAATTCTACTTAATCACATTACAATTTCCTCTATAAAATTGTCAAAGTGCACATTCTACATAAAAGTTTACCACAAAGATGAAATGTAACTGTATATTAAAGTCTTATAAAAATTATAAATATGAATTATGATTTCATATGAATATTTTAGTAGATTTCCTTCTGAAACCACTTGTCATTAGTAAGTTTTGGAGGCAAGGAAACTATAGACTTCGTTTTCCCAATCTAGAACTGTCTGGATCCTATGAACTCTTTTCATCTGCCTTTCTCCCAAGAAACTTCTCACTCTAAACACTCCTCTTTCCTCCCAAACATTATTTTTCCTTTTTCTTAGCCAACTCTTTCATCTTGTACCCCATTATTTAACCTCTAGAGTTTTCTTCCCCATTCCTCCCAAAAAAAGTAAAGTAAAAATAGCAAAGCAAGCAATGTATAAAAATATGTAACTCCCATTTCACAGCACCTTACATTTACTGAAAACTTCAGTTACAAATTTTGTTCTCTATAAAGACCATGTTTCTCTTAACAGCCAAAAGCCCAAGGACAGTCTGATTTTATACTATTCAGGTTTTCTGTGGTACATTATACATCAAAGTATATAAAGATGCCTTATTGTAAAAGCAGTAAGTGTTAGGCTTGTTAGCTGTAATACGTAAGAAACTTACCTCTAAAATCTTGTCAAGGGAGGTTATAGCACCAATATAATCTGAGTTTTCAAAAGCATGAAGGGCCTGTGAACGCAAACGCTGCATTTCATCTGATTTTATAAGTTGGGACTGGGCTTCCTTTTCTTCATTTTCACTTGGATTAGATTTGAGCTATAAGAATAATAAACTAAATTAAACCGGGTTTCCATCTCTTAAGTCTAATATCCATAGTATACACAATAATTTAAGCATTCCTAATTAAGTTCACTGGGGAGAAAGGATCGAGACACTAGCAGACCCGGCTTGTCTTGTCCACTGACTTGCTCCTGGTGCTGACCACCATGGAAAGCAACAGCAAAGGCAGCTCCCACCAGTGTGGTGCACGTGAGCAAGCAGTGGAGTGAGGGTCAAAGACCTGGACCCCCAGACACAGGAAGCAAATATATTTAGGAACATGAGAGGGCAGAGAAGAATGGAGACTAAAGGAAAGCACCATTCTCACTTTCTTATGTATAGCTCTAGAGAAAATAATGAGTTTTATGTATTTTGTTTTCTAGTTATACTTAAGTATTTTTAAGTATAAAATAATTTTGCCAAAATAAAAAAATTAAAAAAAAAAAAAACAACAGAGAAAGAGAGACAGAAAGGGCATTTTTTAGAGCTTGTAAGACAGAAAAGCATTTGATGCTAGAGGGACTAAGATATAAGAAAAAAAGAATATATAAGGAAAAATAAGAGTATTAGTAATACTTTATTTAAAGGCTATCATGAGGTTTTAAGAGGTTCACACCTTGTCTCTTTTTAAACAGGAGGCCCAGTGCATGGATTTGTGCACTGGTGGGGTCCCTTGGCGTGGCCTCGGGGATCAGGCTGAAATCAGCATTCCAACATCCCCCTGAGGGATGTAGTAGTGTGTGAAGTGGCAGGCAGCTGGGAGGAGCCAGAGCCTGAGTTGGGCACCTCACCCCTCCTCATCCCAGCCCTGCTAGGTAAGCTCACTGCCGCTAGGTAAGCAGCTCATTGCTGCCCTACTGCGGTCTCGACGCACCAGTCCTAGGGTGATACCAGCACACCGTGACCAAGAAGTGGCTGCGGGCTCACGCCCAGTCAGTCCTGATGCCGGTCCATCCCAGTCCCAATCCAGATGGGGGAGGAACACTCAGGAGGAATGCCCAAGGGAGAGGCTCGCACCGCTGCAGCTGCACTCACCAGCCGTGAGCCTGACGCCTGGCACCTGTCAGTCAGCTAAGCAGCACTCCCACTGTGGGAGCACAGTGATCAGGGGGCTGCTCCTGCATTGAGCACCTGCCCCCTGGTTGTCAGTGTGCAACATAGCGACCAGTCAAATGCTTAGGCTTTTCTATAGACAGATATTTTTATTGATTTTGAAAGAGAGAGGAAGGGAGAGGGAGAAGAAAAGGGAGAGGAAGAGGGAGGGGAGGGGAAGAGGGAGGGGAAAGGAGAGAGAGAAACATCAATGTGAGAGCAGACTATCAATCAGATCAGTTGCCTCCTGCACACCCCCTACCAGGGATGGAGCCTGCAATCTGGGCATGTGGCCTGACCAGGAATCAAACTGGCAACCTTTTGATGCACAAGATGATACCCAACCAACTGAACCACACCAACTAGGGCCCTTGTCTCTTTTTAAACATCATCCATGTATAATATATATCAACAATTCACTAATTTTGGGTGTGCAATTCTATGATTTTTAATTAAAAAACCATGTATGCAACCATCTCCACATTTTTAGACCATTTATGTCACCCCAATAAGATCCTTTGTGTCTGTTTACAGTTCATCCCCACTCCCAGCCTGGTCTCATATACAATGACTCTTAATAATTTCTTCCTCCAGATGGAAAACATTAAGCTTAATGGCTCAGAAAAATGAGGTGCTACAATAAAAAGCTACTGACTTTAAACAACATAAACTGATTAACAAAAAATAGATTCAGAGACACAGAAGCATTGAACAGACTGTCCAACCTCAGAGGGAAAGCAGGGGAGGTGCATGCATATAAGCATAACCCATGGACACAGACAGTACAGGGAGTGAGGACATGTGCTGGAGGGTGGGAACAGCTGGGGAGAGGTCAATGGGGGGAAGGAGACATACATAAACAGTGAAGAATTTTTTAAAATTTTTAAAAAGCTACTGAGTTTTTGTGGACTTTTTTCTTTAAGATTAGTTACGTAATAATTCCTGAAATCTAATATTCTTATTAAGATGAGAATTGTAGTTGCTAGGTTCCAATTTTGGGTGTGATGAAGACCATAGTTGATTTCTAAAAATGTCTCTTCTCCAATTGACCAATCATACTGTTTCCCCTTGTAGTGGGATTTATTTTGTAAAAACACCCCCAGAACCACCTGGTAGAAAACACTCCAAAGGAAAAACATTAAGATTATTATCCCTTGATAGAGGCTCTATATTTCTCCATTTGTTTTTAGGAAACTTTAGGTATTCTATTTTGTCTGTAGAGCCTCTGGCTTTTGAAGAAATAGACAGGACTCCAAGTAGTCATAGGTAACTAGGAAGGAATTGGTCACCTCAGCTTGCTCTGGCTGGGAGTGGACTGTCACTGCATGACAGAGTTATCAGCTGAAGGTGAGTTGCATTATGGCCATGGAATGCTTGCCTATGACTGTCTTATCATCCTTATTAGGGTGATCTTGAATACTTCTGATAGACCACATTGGAAGGAGTACAAATGTGTGTGTGCTGTCTCTTTGCTCTTGGTAAAAGTAGAAGTTTATTGATTACTTGTTTTCTATAGCTTCATCACTGCTCCCTTTTGAATACATTGTATTGGAATGTATTAGAAAGTGCCTCTTCTGGATGGAATTTGCATCTTTCCTCTCCTAATCTTTGCAGTCTAGTCTCTTCTTGTTGTTGTTGGAAGGTGAGAGAGGGGAAAGTCAGTTGACAAGGCAAGCTATAAGCTTTAAACAATTGCCACTTATACCAATCTAGCACACGTAAATGTTTTCTGTAGTGATAACACTTACACATTTTTATTTTTAACTAACTTTATTTTCCACAACTAGGTCTATAAAGCAATACTATCTATACTAATAAAAGGGTAATATGCTAATTATATTGGGGAAAACTGGGGATTAAGTAAAAAGTACAAAGAATCTCTGTGTTAATTACAATTTCATGGGAATCTACAATTATCTCAAAACTTTAAATTAAAAATTAAACATTCAGTACTGATGTGCATTCTCATGGAAGAATCCTATACCAATAACAGCAATGAGAGTGTTAAGAACACACCAGCAGAAGCATGACTGTCAGAGAACAATCTAAAAGTGGGAAGTAACATGAAAGTTCCCTTTCTTGTTTCTGGGAGGTTTTCATATTGATCACAGAAAGGGCAGCAATTAACCCAATACATACCCCAAGTCCCAAACACTCACTTTTCCAAAAAGATACATTCAATGCCCACTAAGGATTAATTTATGCTAAAGCTTTATTATAAATTGTGCTATTTCGCCCAAGCTGATTTGGCTCAGTGATAGAGCATTGGCCTGCAGACTGAAGGGTCCTGGGTTCAATTCCAGTCAAAGGCAGATACCCAGTTGCAGGTTCCCCAGCCCTAGTCAGGGTTTGTGCAGGAGGCAGACAATCGATGTGCCTCTCTCTCTCTTCCTTCTACCCTCTCTAAAAAAAATGTATATGAAAAAAATATCCTCAGCTGAGGATTAACAAAAAAATAATAATATATAAATTAATAAATTGTGTTATTAATGTATGATTGAAAAAAAACAAACTCTAAGCAATATATTTCAGCATTTGCTAAAAAGAAAAAAACACATCCTTGTGTTTTATCATTTATTTATCCATTCGACAGATTTTTATACAACATTTGCTATATACAAAGGACTGAGCTAGAGAAAGGTATGCTCCCAGCACCTCTGTATCTCCACCACTCATCCTTCAGCCTGCTCTCAAGTAGCAAGGAAGATTAGATCAACAGAAAATGACATCCAATGTTATTGAGATCATGAGCCAAGCTTCTGATTCAAAACTATTATGTTTTCTAGATTTTTCTGCCTATGACTGAGCATTGTGGTAAGGCTATGAAAATATTTTCAGAGTGGATATCATCATAGACTTACGCATTTTGATAAACTACAAAAATGCAAATAATGAGTAATGGACTCTACATGTATGGCCTTTCTAAACCATTCCAGAAACAAATCCATGTAGAACAAAAATGCTCGTCTTAAAACAAGCCCAAGGAAGGCATAAAGACATTGGGCTAGCTATCTCTCTCTAAATCATTTTTCAGGATATACCCCTTTTAATTACATATTATCTTACATTCCATCAAAAAATCCAAAATGCTTTATGCTTTTTTGGACAGAAATCAAACATATAACATTATAATGTCTAGCAAAATGAAGGTTTGTTAAATGAACAAATGAAGTGGGAATACAAAGTTCTCTGTTTTCTTCACTCAGTTTCATAACTTTTCATCTCGTAGATGATGTATAATAATACTAAAATGAAGGTTTGTTAAATGAACAAATGAAGTATTATACTAAAAGAAGTATTATACTAATACTTCTTTTAGTATAATAATACAACAAAGCTAGCTATGAAAGGCTGCTAGCATTAGCAAGTAAAAGGTCAGTTTGTCATAGAGACTCAGTGGTAGAGCAGTCAACCCTCCCCGCCGAAGGGTCATGGGTTTGATTCTCAGTCAAGGGCACATACCTCATTTCAGGTTTGTTTCATGGTCATAGGGCAGGAAGGGGGGCATATGGGAGACAACCAATCAATGTATCTCTCACACTGATATTTCTCTCCCTCCTTCTCTCTACTTTTCCCTCCCTTCCTCTCCCCTCACCCCCATCCTTTCTCTTTCTCCATCATTCCCTTCCACTCTCTCTTAAAAAAAAAAAAAAAAAAAAAAATCAATGGAAAAATAACTTCCAGTAAGGATTAAAAAAAAAAAGAATTTGTGTCATTATTCCTTTCAAATCAAATAAAGGTGTTCCCAAGTTACTTAGAGGACTCTTAGAATAGCTCAGCTGACATCCCTAGATTCTCACAGAAGACAAAAAAAGAGTATGTGATCTACAAAAACAGTCAGGATTATGTATTTATTCCTCACACTTTACCTACTATCTATTAAAGTGATTCTTTGATGTCAGCCACCAACTATTAATTCAAGAACTGTGATTCTTATATACACAAATGTTTTCCCTTTTAGATATAAAATTTTTATTAAATGTCTTCCTATAAAATATAAATCAAATATATCCACTCAAAATAGCATGTTCAAAGAGCCAAACACAAATTTAACTTACCACTTTCTTAAAATCATCTTCTGCTTCATCAAGTTTTCCTTGTTTGAGTAATAAATGGCCTCTCTGTAATCTTGCCTAGAAAACAAAACAAAACAAAAAAACAGAAAGGGTGTTCTGAATACTATGCATTTCTAAATGTTCTTTAAACACAAAGAATAAAATTAAATAAGCTAATGAAGTATTAATGAAACAAATTATTTTTCAATGCCTATTTGATTTGGCACTCTAAGAATATTTCCTGGAACCACCAAGTATGTTTAATTTTTTTATAAAGTATGCTTCCTTAAAAATATTTTTTGCTATACCCAAAATGTTGAAAACATTGAAAACACAAAATCTTGTACATGAATGAATGTTCACAGCAATAGCCAAAAAGGGAAAACAATCCAAATTTCCATCAACTAATAAATCAATAATCAAATGTGATAAAATCTATAAAATGGAATTATTATTCAGCTATAAAAAGGAATAAAGCATAAGAATCTTGAAAACTTCATGCTAAGTGAAAAGAAATCAGACACAAAAGGCTATATAATAGTAATATTTCATTTATGTATATATATTTATTTACACATATAAATATTTTTTTAAAGAAATCCTGTACTCAGTAATAGTCATTACCATATCTACCCTAGCCCCTGGCAACCACTTATTTTCTGTCTCTATGGAATTTGGATATTTCACATAAAGCCAATAAGTGGACATCCCCCAAGGGGTCCCAGACTGTGAGGGCACAGCAGGGTGGAGGGACCCTCCATCCACAATGCATGAATCTCGTGCACTGGACCTGATAAATTATAAAGCTAGTACAAAGATTAAAAGAAGATCATGTGTAATTACAACAATAAATTTAAAAATACACAAACACACATAAAATAAGAGAAAAATAATGCCAAAAGCAAAAACATGGAGATGAGTAAAAATTGTACTGATTTTAGAATATGTTCAAACCTAAGTGACTATCAACTTAAAATAGACTACATTAAACATAACTTGGTATATACACTTAATGGCCAGATTATATAATATTATGATCTCTGAATGCATAATAATCTGGCCACTCAGTGTATATTCTATATAATAAAAGGCTAATCTGCAAATTGTCCCCTGGACCAGGAGTTCGACCAGCAGGCAGGTCGGCAAATTGCCCATGTCCTCTCCCCCTGGCCAGGCTGGCTGGACCTCACCCATGCACGAATTCATGCACAGGGCCTCTAATATATATTTGTGTGTGTGTGTGTGTGTGTGTGTGTGTGTGTGATGAGTAGATGTCTCGTGGCTTGAGTTTGTATGGAAGTATTAGAATAATGAGCTACTTAACCTTTGTGAAAGGTTGTGCTTAGCTAGGTAAAGTAATATGTGAGAATAAACAAGTCATCTTTTCTGTCAATAAACAATTTAGACAGCCACCATGTTGGCCACATGGTTTGCAGCTCCATGGGGGCCACCATCTTGAAATAGCAAACAATCCCTCCCTTTGAATTAACCAATTGCTCAAAACTAAGCTCCAATCAGAGGGAGGGACAGGTCATGTGTATCAGGAATTAAAAAGCCAAGCAGACTGCCTGCTTGGTGGGCGGGTGCTTCCAGAGCATGTGTGCGCACCCTTCTACATAGAAGTAAAGATGTTTGCCTTGCTGCCTGGCTCCCGAGTATGTTCTCTGTGCTACCAGGACCCCTGAATTTGGGGGCTTGCCTTATTTCTTACAAATAGATTAAAGAAAATTAGATACTTGGGCATTCCATCTTAAAATAATAGTAATATTTCAAACCAAACATTCACCCATATCTAATTATCTCAAATTCTTTTTTAAATATGGCAGAATATAAACAATAAATAAGTCATCAAATTAATTTTGAAACCATCTAATTGGTTCTATTATTTTAAGCCATTACACTGACCTGCCAATTGTCAACATATCCCAGTAGGTTGTAAATTCCTCCACTTCTGAAGTCTATGTGTTGGTCCTAGGGGAGAATTCTGTCTAATTCACCACAAACCACTGCTTAGTTGTCTCCTTTTCTTTACTGTTCCTGCTAATGCCTAATTAAACCTGTCATTAGTAACCGGACAGCCTCTTAATTTAACAGCCTCTGAGTCAACTCATTTCTCAGCCTCACTTCTTACCCTGCACTTCATCTTCCACACAGAGGTCTTCCTCAATGACAGAGTGAACATCACTGCCACACTTCTAAAAATTATCTAATGTACCCACTGTTCCTCTTTCACAGACCTTTGATGTCAGTGACTTTGGAAGGCTCTTATTGCCCAGTTCACTACATCATAGTGGCTTTCAATATCCTCCAGCTATGCCTACCCAGCATGCCAGTCCTCAACTTAACAAATTGCCTCTTCCAAGTTCCCTTAAATTAAACCTTAAAGAAAGTTTAGATGCACTTACTGCAGTGAAATCCATCTTCAATTCAATCACTCTAGTTAAATCAGGAAGTGCTGCTTTTGATTTTCCCATAGCTAAAAAGGCAGTAGCTCTTCGATAGTAAGCAACATAGTTATCTGGGTCACCATCTGAAAATTAAAATAATAAATATTAGCACTCAGTAATTTATTTAAAAAACCAAGTCACCTGAACAATATTAGAATTTGCAATTCTATTAAGAAATGTTAGTTAAGAAAAGAATTTCTTCATTATTAATGAATCATGTTGCCTAGCAAGATCACTGCAAATAAATCTAGAACAAGGGTCATCAAACTGGCCTGTCAGCCAAATCCAATCCACAAGTTAAAAATAGTTTTTACATTTTTAAAGAGTTGTAAAAAAAAAAAAAGGAAAAATATTCAATAAAGCCTACAATATTTATTTATTATTTAGCCCTTGAGAGGAAAAGTTTGCCCATCTCTAGTCTGAAGTACTATATTCAACTCATAACTTTGTCTTTACTGAAATTTTCTTAAGTAAAATACTGATTGAAAATATGGACTATGCACTTATTCACAGGATTTTAGAAAATATAGACTTCCAATTAAATTGATATTGTGCAACCTCTGCTCCCTCACAAACTCCAACTAAAATGGCAGTGAAGAAATAAAGGTACAATGCTTAGACAAAGAATGAGTGAGACTAAAAGAGCAAAACTAGATAAGTCAAAAATATCTGAACAAAGGAAAGCAGATGGATGAGTTCAGTTTTTGAGCTAATTCCACTCTGTTCAGCTCCTACAAATCGGGGAAAGAGTGAATTCAATTAGAAGCAAGCCTCATGCTGCTGACCAGTCCTTCCAGAAAGCAACTTTGAAATTCTATCTAATAAAGAGGGAATATGCAATTGACCATCACACTGTCACAAAGATGTGGCACCCACAGGGAGGCGGGGTTCGGTAAGATGGCTGCACCCACAGTGGAGGCCAAGTTTCCATACAAGCCTTAACAAGCAATCAGCAGGGACCTGAGGCTGTGCCCCCCACTTGGTGGGGCTTGACTGGGAATCTGAGGCTGCAAACGTGTCTCCCCACGCCCTCCCACCCCCACCAGGCCAGGGGACATCAGGCTGCTCCCCCCGCCCTGGGCCTAGGAACCTCAAGCCGCACCCACCCACCCCACACTGGGGAAGCTGAGGCTGAGACCCCACCCAGCACTGGGCCAGAAGATCTGAGGTTTAAACCGCCCCTCCCACCCCCCCTATCCCTCTCCCCACCCAGCAGGGCTTGATGGGGGAATCTCAGACCACACCCCCCACCTGGCAGGTCTTGGTGGGGGACCTCAGGCTGTGCCCCCCACCTGGCAGGGTTTGACAGGGGATCTCAGGCCGCATCCCCCACACAGTGGGGCTTGACAATGGATTTCAAGGCACGACCCCCACCCCAACCCAGGCTGGAGGACCTCAGACTGCACCCCCTGCCTGGTGAGATTTGACAGGGGACCTCAGGCCATGCCCTGGCCCAGCAGGGATTGACTGGGAACCTCAAGGCACACCCACCCACCCCAGTGCCAGGCCAGGGGATCTCAGGCTGCACCTCCTGACCTGGTGGCGGGCCAGGGACCTGAGGGTGCACTGGGGGACCTAAGGCTACGCCCTCTGCCTGGTAGGGCTTGATGAGAGACCTGAAGTTGCACCTCCCCACCCGGTGCCAGGTTAGGAGACCTGACAAGGGTGGGGTTGGCTGGGGCTGGATCTTGCCCAATGTGGTGGGACCGGCTGGGTCTGGGTTTCCTGCAATTTTGAGGCACCATAGGTGGGCAGGAATTTGACTCTAGGTCCCGTGGTGCACCCCAGACTCTGATAGGAGGAAGATTTTCATTTACATTTACTAATTTTTTTCATCTCTGACACTTCTATTATAGAGAAAGGGCAAATAGCAGTATTAAAATATTTCCTCAAATTAATCCCCTTTTAGTGTGCACAAATTTTGTACACCAGGCCACTAGTCTATACTAATGAAAGAGTAATATGCTAATTAGACCTGTGGCTTTATCAGGCCTGAAAACTGCCCCCAGGCCCCTTGCTCAGGCCGCCCATTCCCCAGTGGGGACCCCCACCCTAATAGGGGCAAGGATGGCCTGCAAACAGCCCTCAGCCCCTCACCCAGGCTGGCCCTGCCCCCAGCAGAGACTCCCACCCTGATAGGGGCGAGAATGGCCTGCAAACAGCCCTTAGCCCCTCACCCAGGCCTTCCTGCCCACAGTGGAGACCCACACCCCATGGGGGTATAGCCAGCCTGAAAATGGCCCTCAGACCTTCACCCAGGCTGGCCATGACCCCAGCTGGGACCCGCACCCAACTGGGTGTGGCCAGCCTGCAAACAACCCCTAGCCCAGGCTGGCCATGCCTCTCAGCAGAAACTGCCCCCCCATCCCAATAGGGGTGTGGCCAGCCTGTAAACCGCCCCAAGCCCCTCGCCCATGCCAGCCCCACCCCCCAAGGAGACCCCCATCCTGATCTTAGACCCCCTTCAGGGCAGACCAGCTGGCCCCCACTGTGCACCAGGCCTCTATCTTCTATACTAATTAAAGGGTAATATGCTAATTAGACCGGGAGGCTTTCTGGAAAAAGCCATGGTGGTGGGGCTGAGGCACTTGAATGGCAAAATAGAATAGCCTGGTTCTTCACCTTAAAATACCAACAGTTCTTAGAACTAGTGTCCCTTCCTATATCGTTGTATATAAAGTAGCAACTGAACAAGAATTAGTTTAAGGAATTCGTGCTTTTAAATTTGGCATTTAAACCACATACCATTATCTTAATAAATGTAAAATTTGATAACTTCAAAAAAATCACTTCTCCTATTATCCACTCAATGTAATTATATATACAATATAATTCATTATTTAAATTACTTGCAAGCCTGCATATAAATACTTGATTTCATTTTAAAACATGTCATTCAAATTGTTACACTAGTTGATTAGAAATTTGAACATGACGGAAGAATTTAAGTTTTAATCCTAAAACTATCAAACAACTCAAATATGAGAAAATAAGCCCTAATAAAGAATATACCACTACTATCTGGAGAAAACACATCAGAAAGTCAATTACAAATGATGTTGTAAACAGTGGTAGCAGGAAGCATGAGAACACTACCCTTGCCTGGGTACAAAAATTTTTTTTATTCTGGCTCCCAGCTAATCCACTCTACCTCGTTCATTCATTCAAACTTTAACTGGGCACCATCAGATATTAAAATTAAAAAAATGACACAGTAATAATGAGATAGTACCTATCCTTAAAAAGTTCACAATCTTTTGACCCGGGATGTGACCTTTGGAAGGTCACCAGTGTATTCTCTGTTTCCTACTGTCTAATGTGAACAGGAATGCTCATTCCCATTTCACAAGTGATGTTCAAATGTCACGAGAAAGCAACAAATGCTTAAGTGGCAAATAAAAGTAGACTTGCTGTGTTTTTTTTTAATTTGGCAAAACTACATAAATGTAATACTGTTGGTTTTTTTACCAAGCAAATGGAGACACGTACCATTTCAGACATGCCCACCATTTAATCTACTTCAGACATTCATTCCTGCCAGATAGGCTTAAGACACTCTGTAAGGTCTATCAAATAAATGATTTCACACCCTAGAATACATTTCAGACACACAGAACATAAGACATGATGTGGAAATGAGAGGTGGGACCATCATCATACCTGCATTGTAGTTTTCTTTAATGATAATTCTCTAAGTAAAACTCCTTCATCACATTAAAATGGATGCAACTGTTTCAGAAAACTATTTGAAAAGTGATCAACTACACTCGTTCTTAAATAAAAAATGTTTCCAACAGATCAAGACTATTTCCCAATCAGTTCTAAATCTTAAAACCCCTGCCAAAAAATATTTATATGACAGATACAAAAATATTTCAAACCAAATCACTGACAGATCTGTACCACAAGGTAGAAAAAATTACTTGTGTTACTATGCAGTTTTAATAAATAAACCTTTTGTTGTGCAAAAATGTAATCATAAAACATACCATGCCCAAGTAATTTCCAAAACGTACCAAGTAATTTTTCAAAAATAAAAATGGAAGGATGTCACAACATAACATAAATTATTTCGGCAACATTATAAAAAAATTATTTGTTGATACACAACATGCTGCTGGCCAAATTTAATTAAAAACTTTAGCATCATTAAAATGTCCATATGACCCAAAGCAATCTATAGATTCAATGCTCTCCCCAGACAAAAATAAACACCATAGACAAAAATAAAATAGATAAAGGAGTTAAACATAAGATAGGAAACCATAAAAATCTTAGAGGAATCCACAGGCAGCAAAATCTCAGACATATGCCGAAGTAATTATCTTCACTAATACAGCAACTAAGATAATGGAAACTAAAGAGAAAATAAACAAAAGGGGAATACATCAAAATAAAAAGCTTCTGCACAGCAGAAGAAACCATCAGCAAAACAAGAAAACCCATTGCATGAGAGAACATATTTTTCAATGTTATCTCCAATAAGAATTTAATCTCCAACATTTACAGGGAACTCATACAAATTAACAAAAAGAAGATAAACAACCCAATCAAAAAATGGGCAGCAGATCTAAATATATACTTTTCGAAAGAGGACATAAGGAAGGCCAAGAGACATATGAAAACATGCTCAAAGTCACTAATCATCTGAGAGATCAAACCAAATGACAATACGGTACCATCTCACACCTGTCAGAATGGCTATCATCAACAAATCAACAAATGACAAGTGCTGGCGAGGATGCAGAGAAAAAGGAATCTTCGTGCACTGCTGGTGGGAATGCAGACTAGTGCAGCCACTGTGAAGAACAGCAGCATGGAGTTTTATCAAAAAACTAAAAATGGAACTCCTATTTGACTCAGTGATCCCACTTCCTGGAATATATCCCAAGAAACTAGAAACACCAGTCAGAAAGGATATATGCACCCCTATATTCATAGCAGCACAATTTATAATAGCTAAGATTTGGAAACAGCCTAAGTGCCAATCAGCAGATGAGTGGATTAAAAAACTGTGGTACAGCCAAAACTGGTTTCAGCTCAGTGGATAGAGCATCGGTCTGTGGACTGAAAGGTCCCAGGTTCGATTCCGGTCAAGGGCATGTACCTTGGTTGCGGGTACATCCCCGGTAGGGGGTGTGCAAAAGGCAGCTGGTCGATGTATCTCTCTCATCAATGTTTCTAGCTCTCTAACCCTCTCCCTTCCTCTCTGTGAAAAATCAATAAAATATAAAACAAAAGACTGTGGTACATCTACACAATGGAATACTACGCTGCTGTAAAAATGAAGGAATTCCTACCATAGAGCTGGAGAGCATTATGCTAAGCGAAATAAGTTAAGTCAGAGAAAGATAAATTTCACTGATCTCACTCATTTGTGGATTATAATGAACATAAACTGATGAACAAAAACAGATCCAGAGACAGAGAAGCATCAATCAGATGCTCAAACCTCAGAGGGAGGGTAGGGGAGGATGGGGGTAAGGGCAAGAGATTAACCAAAGGATTTGTTTGCATCCATATAAGCCTAACCAATGGACACAGACACCAGGGGGGGAAGGGCATGACTGGGGGAAGGAGAAGGGTGGGAGCAGAGGAGCAAGGAATGGGGGGATAAGGACACATATGTAATACCTTAATTAAAAACAAAAACTTTAACATTAAATTCTTACCAAAGATGAAGTTAAAGCAATAAAGTACATTACAAAATTTAGAAGTTTGGAGGTATAAACACTTTTATGAATAAACATTTGACAAACTTTTTATATAATTAGTTTAAAGCAATGTATTAGTACATAGATGACATTTTAACATAAAAGATTAGCATTCATTTTAAAGTAGCACAGTCCTATGATCTGCTGCAATGACTTGTGCATAACTTGTTAGTCTATCTAGAACAATTCACTGTTAGCTAAAGGCTCTCACCAAATCACTGGGTTACCTGAAGCAGCCAACATGGCCATACTAAATGTTATATTTGGTAAATGAGACAACTGCAAGAGGATCTACACTTCTTTCTGATAAACACATATCTCCTAAGAGATTCAGTAGGCCATGACACCACATCACCCTATCACTATCTGCTATATATTGTCATCATATGTAATTTAAACTATTTTCTATAGTTAGTTATGAACAACAGTGTTTTACATAAACTAAAATGATGAATCTCTCAAACCACATAGGTGCTCCTCAGAAATTATGACATTTGTACCATTTGAAAATCATTGCTACTCATCAAATTATGAACCAAGTGACATAGCTATTTGAATTCTGGATGCAACCAGTGTTTTGCTTTTTCTCTTTACCTAATTTCACAAAAAAATTACTTTAGTTTTACAAGTTTACATCTTTCGGTGAAAACAATAATATTTTTTATTGGGTATTTTGGGGAAGAGCCAGCTCAAGGATTCTTGAATGGCAGTGATGCTAAAGAAAACTAGAGAGCCGTAGCTAGTTTGGCTCAGTGGATTGAGTATCGGCCTGAGGACTGAAGGGTCCCAGGTTCGATTCCGGTCAAGGGCATATGCCCAGGTTGCGGGTTTGATCCCCAGCGGGGGATGTGCAGGATGCAGCCAATCAATGATTCTCTCTCATCAATGATGTTTCTATCTCTCTCTCCCTCTTCCTTCCTCTCTAAAATCAATAAAAATATATTTTAAAAAAAGAAAAAGAAAACTAGGGAGTCATTTTAAATTATTTTAACAAGAGGCTCAGTGCACGGATTCGGGTACCAGTGGAGGTCCCTCAGCCTGGCCTGCACCCTCTCATAATCTGGGACCCTTCAGAGGATGTCAGACTGCTGGTTTCGGCTCAATCCCCTCAATTCAGGCCAAGGTGCACAAATCCATGCACCATGTCTCTAGTATGCATATAAGATCTTTGGTTAATCTCTTCCTGCCCTCCTCCCTTCCCTCTGAGATTCATCAGCCTATTCCACATTTCCATGCCTGTGTGTTGAATGTCTGCCTCCTGGTGGTAAGTGTGCTTCATAGCTACCAGTTAACAGTTAAATGGTCGCTTAGACTTTTATATATATACTAGGGGGGCTGGTGTATGAAATTCGTGCACTCAGAGGAAGGAGCAGCCCTCAGCCCAACTTCCGCCCTCTTGCAGTCTGGGACCCCTCGGGGGATGTCCAACTGCTGCGGAGGCGGGAGAGGCTCCTGCCACTGCCACTACACTCACCAGCTGTGAGCCCAGCTTCTGGATCACCCTGTGGGAGCGCACTGACCACCGGGGGGCAGCTCCTGCATTGAGCATCTGCCCCCTGGTGGTCAGTGCACATCATAGCAGCCAGTATTTCTGCCATTTGGTCAATTTGCATATTAGCCTTTTATTAAATACGATAGATACATCATAGCCCATAATGTTTCCATTAATTGTGGGATTAAAGAATGCAAATAATAGCCTTAGCCTGTTTGGCTCACTGGATAGAACGTCAGCCTGCAGACCAAAGGATCCTGGGTTCGATTCTAGTCAGCGGCACATAACTCGGTGGCAGGCTCCTCCCCAGCCTGAGCCCTGGTCAGGGTGCATGCAGGAGGCAACCAATCAATGTGTTTCTTTCACATCAATATTTCTGTCTTTCCCTCTCTCTAAAAACCAATGGGAAAATATCCTCAGGTGAGTATAAGCAACCCAAAAATATACCATATTAAAAGAAAAAAGAATGCAAATCATAAAGTATAAAATAAGTAGAAAGTATAACTTTCTGTGGCTGTAAGAAGAATCAATATTTTAAAGACATGCTTTATCTAAGACAATAACTGAATATTTTTTAATTACCATGCTGCAACACTTAAGACAGTTCAAATAATCAGAAAATTAACTATTATATTGATTATCTCAAGTCATCAAGAAAATTAAACTGCATTTAGTAAAATATTTTAAGAGGCAGAAAATTATGTAATGCATTGAAAAAGGTTTCCTGTCAAAATTATCTTTAATTATTCTTGGTATTTATAGTAGCAAATCTCAATGACTGTCTAGAACGTTTTCTCATGCTAAATACATATGCATTCAGTGTTATGCACTTATTTTACTAATCCATTTCACTGAAAATTCTGCAACTATTTTTAAGTATTATATTTAAGCATTAAATAATGTTTAAATGTTATTCTAAAAAACAGCTATTAATTAAAATTTACTAAGATGGCCACTGAGTTTTTTACTTCCAAGATACATACCTACTGCAGCATGAAATTGTGATAACGCATCAGCCAGCTGTCCAGCGGCAAGCAATTTCTTCCCCAATTCAAGATGTTTCTCAACATCTGCATTCACTCCACATTCAGCACCTAAAAACAAATTAAAAAATATGGTAAGTTAATTATCAATGGACCAACATTTAATTCTAAAGAATAAAATGTTAAAGCTATAATTATCTGTCTCAGAAATTTATCATGAGAAAAGTAAAAGGAGCTGAAAAGTGACCTAAAGAAAGTAACAGTAAGGCACAAGCATGCTTCATTTTATAGAGTATAAGCAACCCAGAAATATACCATATTAACCTCGTCAATGAAAAGAATTCATCCAGTCTACAAAATATAAGAGAAACTATACAACACAGTAGTAGTAAGCCTATGGTGAACAACGAAATAACAACTGCTTTGTTAAACTAGACTCTCACTTTAATGAATATTATCGAGACCACAATAATATTCAATTACTTGCTGAGCACCTACAACGTACCAGGCACTATTCTAAATATTTGAGATAAGTGCAAAGCAAACAAAAAAATGTGCTACTCACAGTGCTTGGCATTAAAGGAGGAAACAGTCATAAGAAATAAGTAAATTACACAGTTAGGGGAAAGTACTATGGAAAAAGCAGGACTGTGTGATAGAAGTCAGCAGTACTGGGCTTCCAGTTTTACACAAGGTGATGAATGATGTGCTTCATTGAGAAGCTGACATTTGAGCAAAGATTTAATTGAAAGGAAGTGAGGAGGTCAACATGCAAGTATCTATGGAAAGAGCTTTTCAAGAAGAACTAGGTCATGTGCCAGAAACAGCAGGAAGGCCAGAATGGCTACCACAGAGCCAACAGGGGAGAACATAGTATAACATGAAGTCAAAGTAGTGGGTCTATGTATGGCTTCAGTCTCACTCTGGGTAAAGCAGGGAGCTACTGAGGAATTGTGAGTAGAATAACATGATCTGCCTGGCCACGCCAATAATTATAAGGTACTGCCTCTCTGTTTCGAATTCATTTTTAGTGCTTGGCTGTAAAAAATTGAATTTTTAAGCATTTCTTTATACAGCACAATGTTAGACTTTGTTAGAAAAGGACACTGAAGGGGCATTGCAAGGACACTTTCTGGTTCCCCTTACTGCGTTTACTTTTTTCTGGCTCCTGCTTCATGGTACGCATGGGAAGGATATCCAGTGGTGCACTGCCATATGGCTATATGCCCAGGGATCCAGTCCCTCAGCAATCTGGCAGCCTTGGCCAGACACTACCTCCCTATAAGGACACCATGCGCTCGAGGCTTCATAACCACAACAGCACCTTGACTCCCCCTCATACAGCTAACCAACCTGGGCTTACCTACTAGTATACTTGAGAGGGTTGTTCTCTGCCTGCTCAGCTCTTGCCCCAGCAACTCGGCAAACTGTTCTACCAGCAAACTCGGGTTGTAGCTATACCTTCTTCAATGAGGTCTGAACCCCAGCCAATTATAAGAATGTCCTTTAGAGTTCCCTTTACATGTTTATAGCTACTCTCACAACTTACATTTCTTTATATTAAACTTCCCCTTTTATATTACTATACGGTTTCTATCTCCTTAGACAACACAGACTTATACACATTGTTATAGGAGTGGTCCCAGGAGACAGACTCACAAACATGGAATTTGACAATTGTTCTGGTCATGCCCTGAGCTTACTAGTACTAAGTGCAGTTGTGAGCTCCTTGACAATGAGAAACATTATTAGCAATCCATTGCATGTCTTGGAATAAAAGTTAATCAAGATATCACTGTGGTTTGCCGTGAGCAAGTGCTGCGGCACATGCCTTGGAAACCCAAATGGCTGCTGCTCTAGACCATAAAGAATTGTGATGTGGGGGAAGATTCTTCTGAGTGCACTAGGTCACTTAGGGGAAAAAAAGGCTCAGGTCTAACTCTCAGCTCAATTCTCTAAGAGCGCCATTGCAACTCTAAATCTCTTATTTTTTGAAACCGCAGAGCTAGCTCAACTGAAAATAAAACAAAAGTTTATTTTAAGGGTTCAATTAAAACAATAGTTGAATTCACAGTTTCACCCAGTTTCTCTTCTGAAATTTAGGGCATGCATTAGTAAACAATGGAATTCTAAAACTCAGAATGAAGACATTTAGTTTGACCCAGATGAAACTAACCAATTTAAACCCCTTCTGAGCCTCCCTTACCAGAAGTAGCTCACTCTCCCATATCAGAGAAGACTACCCTTCCACCACTTGAAATTCCTAGCATAACCCTACCTAGGGCAAATACTATGAAAGGGGATATCTATTTTCATTAAAGCCTACCCTAACCACTCCCAATGTCACTAAACAGGTATACACTATGACCAAAGGAAATAGATTATACAGCAAAAGAACTGTAAGACTTTCATGATAAACAGAAACCCTTAGAACATGTGTGGAAGTGGATCATAAAGGTGTTAAACCAAGCAGGGTGAAATGTAACACTATATCTGGTCTAATTCACCGATAATGTGCACACTTACTATAGCAGAGGTCAGCAAACTGCTACTATAAGTAAAATTTTACTGGTACACAGCCATGCCCTTTCATCCCACATTGTCTATGGCTTTCATGCTATAATGACAAAGTAGAGGAATTTTTTTAAAAATATATTTTATTGATATTTTACAGAGAAGGAGAGAGGGATAGAGAGTTAGAAACATCGATGAGAGAGAATCATCGATTAGTTGCCTCGTGCACACCCCCTACCGGGGATGTGCCCGCAACCAAGGTATATGCCCTTGACCGGAATTGAACCCGGGACCTTTCAGTCCACAGGCCGATGCTCTATCCACTGAGCCAAACCGGTGTCGGCAAGTAGAGGAATTTTGACAAAAACCATATAGCCCATTAAAACGAAAATATTTACTATCTGACCCTTTATAGAAAAGATTTGCTGACTCCTGTACTGGAAATCCCAGATTTAATTACATTAGTTCATGCAGATGAAGGTAGCTCTAAAACTTACTTGGTTGGCTGACTCAAATTGGACCCAACAATGACCTACGCTTTCATAAAACTAAGATTCCAGAGAGTTTCTTAGCACAATAAGGAGGTATTCAAAACCTTTATGAGATTTATCATTTACACACCAACCTCCCACTTATGTTCCAAACAGGGCCCAGCAGACACTCCATTTACTGTGTTCAGAAATATACCGTGTTTCCCCAAAAATAAGACATCTTCCGAAAATAAGACCTACTTACAGATTTCCTTCTGAGTGAAATATAAGGCATCCCCCCGAAAATAAGGCCTATCTCCAGACTCTTGATATTGCAATAAGCAAGCCATTCAAAGACAATTTGCGCATGGAAATTGATGACTACATTGAAAATAGAATGGAGAGAAATCAGCGTGGAAACTTTGTGAAACCTAAACTGCAAGAAGTTGTGACTTGGGTGAAGAATTCATGAGAGAAAATCATTGACAGTTGCATTGCAAATGCCCTGTGAGCAAGCTACCTTGACAAGAAGTACTCATTTAAAGACAGTGCTATTGCTAAACATGAGAGATTTGGTCCACTGATTCTGAAAGAAATGGAGTCACAAGAAATTCACCACGAAATTCAGGAATTGGATTGTTATGATGATGTTCCAGAAGATGATGACATGATTGTCATTGAATAAATGAGTCAATTCTTTATACTGTAGGATTCACAGTTTGTCTGGTTTGTGTTGACAACTACCGTACTACCATATTGTATACAGGTAATAAATTTCCTTTATTTTCATTTAACAATAAATGTGTACCGTATTCTTCTTCATGGAAAAATAAGTCATCCCCTGAAAATAAGACCTAGCGCATCTTTTGGAGCAAAAATTAATATAAGTCACTGTCTTATTTTCGGGGAAACTGCAACCTTTTCAAAGAGCTCTGTGGTCACTCTCCTTTGAAGGACAGGTATGAGTATAGGGGATGCTACCATCGGGATTGGCTTACTGATTTCAATGGGGATTATGGGATCCTGAAGTATTAGCTGAAGCTTAAGTTATCACCACCATAGACCAGGTGAGCACATCAACTATAAATGCATCAACTCACAGGAGAATCTTAACAATCAGGTATAAAATGACTTATGGATATCAGTCAAATTCCTTCCCCATGATACCTATGCAACAAAGTGGCCATGGCAGCAGGGATAGAGGATATGAATGAAAAAACACAGCTACTCTCTACCAATGCTAATCTGGCTGACTGAGTACCTAATCTGACACCACTAGAGAACAAACTTGAGTACCCAATAGAGCACCAAAGGGGTGAAGGTGGGGGACAAGCCAGCCACCTGGTGGCAGATTGATTATACTGGCTCTCTTCTGTATGGATCGTCTTCACATATTCAGCATATGGATTTTCCTGTAACACTTCTGCCAGCACCACCACTAATAGACTCATCATTATGGCAGTCCATATAGCTTCGTATCTAATCAATAAACACATTTACTCATTTCCCAGCAAAGAAAGTACAGCAATTTGCTCATGCCCATAGAATTGGTCTTACAGCCGAAACCGGTTTGGCTCAGTGGAGAGAGCGTCGGCCTGCGGACTGAGGGGTCCCAGGTTCGATTCCGGTCAAGGGCATGTACCTTGATTGCGGGCACATCCCCCATAGGGGGTGTGCAGGAGGCAGCTGATCGATGATTCTCTCTCATCGATGTTTCTAGCTCTCTGTCCCTCTCTCTTCCTCTCTGTAAAAAATCAATAAAATATATTAAAAAAAAAAAGAAAAAGAATTGGTCTTACAACATACAACATACTCTTTCACCCAGAAGCAGCATGCCCATTTGAAAAGAGGAATGGCAGCACTAGTTGGGAGACAAATACCTAAAAAAACTATTTTGAAGGATACAGGTTACACTTTCAGTGACAGACCATCAGTTGGTGCTATCTCCCCCATAACCATAATACAGGAATTCAAAACCTGGTCTTAGGCTCTACAGCAGTGGTTCTCAACCTGTCACCACTAGTAACACCTCAACCGCTAGCAAGGTTACCTAAGACCATCGGAAAACACAGATATTTACATTACAATTCATAACAGTAGCAAAATAACAGTTATGAAGTAGCAAAA